ATGTGTTAGATATGTAAATACATAGGAATTGGAAATGCTCCTCACAAAAAAGAGATTGGATGAGAAATAATAAATCATCTGAGATGAAAAAATGAAAACAATATGAAAATTTTTCAATAATAATAAATTTAAAACTTTGAATTCTAATATATTATCAATATCTTTTATAATTTCTTTTTTGCAAAACAAACAAACTGAATAGAGTAGGGGCAGGCTCAAGCTTTTTGTCATACGCGCATGAAGCTCAACTTGACTCAGCTAGACTCCTATTTGTATCCCATCAATTGGTTTACATACCACATTTACATATTATATTTGAGAAAAAAATTCAAATTGTTCATAGATTAGTTATCAGAGATCATTTTAGTCACAGATTAGCTAATATGTCTAATTTAATCTAGGAAGAATTACGTACATATCACTCAATTCCTATGTATTTACATATTTAACCCCTAAAATATTTAACCCCTAAACCCTATGTATTTACATATTTAACCCCTAAACTTCAATTTTTACATATATGTCACTTTACCTATGCATTAAAAGGTGTATTTTACATTTTAAAAGTTAAATAGTGATATTTTTTATGAGATGTGAAAGATTTAGGAGATATAAATGTAAAAAATTAAAGTTCAGGTGTTGGATATGTAAATATATAGTAATTAGGAGGTATGTATGTAAATTTTCCTTTAATTTATTTACCCTTTTTTTTTTTTTAAAATGGCCCAATACAAATAACCTTGAAGACAATTTTAACAATTTTCTCTATTATACTTCATACCTCAAGAACTGGGCTGTCCTTTGGAATATTGCATGCAAGAACTACACTGAGGCCTGTCTTTAATACTGAACGTAGAATCATCAATTTAGAATAGTATAATCAAACAATGAAAGAGCAAAATAGAACAACAAATTAAGATATGAACCTACCGAGCCGGTGTGCCATGCTCGATCCAGTGTTCTGAGCATTTCCCTTGAGCAAAGATGTAATGCTTACAGAATTGCTCTGCAAAACATCAGAAAATGTTGAATAATGGGCAATCAAGCGAATTAGTTTCTTTTTTTTAGGAATATTTACATATATATACCACTTAATTCTATTGTGTTTACATATTTAACACCTAACTTTCAATTTTTATATATATATGGCACCTTGTATATGCATAGAAATATTTATTTTACTTTTTAAAAGTTAAAACACGGGTATTTTTGATGTGATACGAAAATTCTTGGTGATATAAATATAAAAGGTAATGTTTGGGTGCTAGATATGTAAAAACATATGAATTGGATGGTGTGTATGTAAATGCCACTTTTTTAAAGAGAGTAGTAGCAAGTATTCCAATTACAGATCGAGTGGGTGCAGCAGCATATAAATGCCCAAATTTGGCAGAGTTGCATCCAATCCATGCATAGATCTGCAGAAAATTGATAGCAGCTGGAAATATAAGCGCCAATCAGAGAAATCAAAGCACGAGTAATCAAGAAAAATATCTTAGATAGAGGGAAAGAAATAGAATGCCAGTCAATCAAAGAATAAGGCTCCAAAATGCAAGTGAATAAGGTTTTTATTATAACTAGATGTGATTGTAGAATTTAATTTTTATTGTAAATCCTAGGAAATTTTATAATTATAAAAAGAGAATCTTAGGCATTGTAAACCTAAGGTGTCTTGCACTAGATTTGATACCAAAGCTAAATATTTCACATAATGTCTTATATATTTAGGATATAACAATTGGGTCGGTTAAAAAAATAATTAGATGGTGCAACTGAAACAAAATTACCTTAGTTATGATTTTAAACCATTCCAAAAAGAATATTATAAGATTGTGCTATATTCTTTAATTCGATGAAGAATTATTTGAAAGCTATAATGTCTAACTCCCAAATATTTGAAAAGAATAACTCCTTCCAGTAAATTAATGCAATTGAAACGAAATCAATATAGAATGATATAAAACATGTTCAAAGATTAATGTTTGTCATGTAGTGATTACAGAACTCAACTACATGCTCAATTTAAGAGCTATATGACCAGATCTAAAAATGCACAATCCAACACAACTAATCTATAAGCCATTTGGTTAATTTTCTTTAAAGAGAATGTCCGTCCGCATGTGATAGGCACATTATATTTATGTAGTCAATTTGTTATCATAATAAAACTTTATGAAGTTTGATAAATGTCAAACATAAGTTTTCTTTTCTTTTCGTCTTAATATTAGCTACAATATATTCATTAAGTATATAGGTGATTTAGCTTCATCATTATATATATCATATCATAGTGCACAATTCAATAATATGTATGATTTGAATGAAGAATATTTACAAGAAATTTAATATTAACCAAAATAATTATAAATCTTGGCATGTGAGCAGGAGACCTGAAATTTAAATCATATGATAAATAACGTTATAAGCCATAGAAATGTCTACCAATAATAAATTACTTGTTAGAAAAAAGGACCGTAAGAAATAATATAACTAATTGGGGGGACAAATGCTTATAGAACTCATAAAAGAATCTGGTATTAGATTTATTTTTTTATGTATATGATTTAATTTTGTATCATAAATCATCAGCCAATGCCTTGAATTATTCACTAATTTCATTTCATTTGACTTTTGCATACAACATATCATATTCATAACTCCGAGACTTCCTCATTAAATCTTATTTCTAATAATATTACCACAGTTGAATTAAATTAATTACTAATGGTGGATGCCAAAGAATCCACATAAAGCGAAAAATAGATCTGAAGGTGATGACACATATTTTTCACAGAAAATACAAAATAATGCCCAAACAATCTTGCAAAATAGCAACAATAAATTGCCCCGCATTAAATTCGTTTCAAGCCATGCAGATTGATACAAAAGTCCTTAAAGGGGTGGATTTAGGTGGCACATGGGTTACTGCTGGAATGGGTCATGCAGCTGGCACTGGCAGTTGAGGTGTGGTTTTTCAAGGAGTTGCGACACTACGATACTTTTGAGGATTTATTAGTGTGACATTTCTGTAAATACGGCAGATTGAACTTTATTTTATTGTATATTAAATGCAGCTACCAACTTTTTTTTGTCTTGGTATTTCTTTATCAATATTAAACTAGCACAAAATCATATAAAATAATATAATGAATTAGGACAAATGCTTATAAGTAAGAATAGTTTATTTTTTAATGTATCTAATTTAATTTTGTATCATATTTTATCAATCAATGACTTAAATTATTCTCTATTTCCATTTCATTTGCAATTTGCATATAACATATCATTTTCATGACTCGCAGACTTTCACATCAATCTTTTCTAAATTATTATTGGAAATGAATCAAACAAATCACTAATGGGGGATACCAAATAAACCATATAAAATAAAAATTAAAACTGTACAAGTGAAGATCCATACATTTTCCACGGAATATGCAAAAATAATGCCCAAATATGCTTACCAACTTTCAGCATTAAATTCCCCAACGCCATTTCTTTAAGCTGAGCACATTGATGCAAAAATACTTAAAAAGGAGGATTTAAGTGGTATATAGGTTTCTTCGTACTGAACGAGTCACCCAAGTGGCTTAGGTAGTTGGAGTGTAGCTTTTCAAGTTGGATAGTACAATACCTTTATTAGTGTGAATTTTCTGCAAATTTAGCAATTTTTTTAAAATTATATCTACATGCAACTACCATTTAATTTCTAGGTATCTTTATTGTAAATTCAAGAAATTCTATGATTATAAAAAGGATGTTTTAAATGTGTAAAAGTACAATCATCAAAATAAACTTTTTAATTGAATATATTGAATGTAAATCTTTCAAGTTCTCCACTTAATTAATTGGGAGCTTAAAGTTCCTCGAAAGTTTATCTCCTTATAAAATAGGCTTGGTTTTTCTAATTTGGTGAATTCTATTCCTTCTGCTTATATAGCTTTCCTGAATTTCATTATCGGTTTGCACAAGTGAATGATTTTATTATAGTTAGAAACAATAAATCTTTATAATGCATGATTTTAAAATAATTATATGATCGTTTGTAGTTCTGAATTTTTTATGTATTTTTCTAGTAGATGGATATTAAATTATAAACTGCCTTCTTTTTCTAGTTTTTTCATCTAAAATAATGTATATTTTCAAATGAAGAGTTTGTGATCTATATGAACTTGGCTTGTCTATGACATTTTGTTCATTTCATCATAAATCTACATTGGTAATCCTAAAATCTAAGATGTTTGTGAACTGCATCATCTTTCATACCTAGATGTAATCCTAGTCATCTATGTGTAAATCCAACTAGATTCTTCTAGCCACTCTTATTTTGTTTGATGTTTATTATAAATTCACTCACCTCATATTCCTAACATGAGAATTTCTCCCCATTCTAACATTACTATACAATGTTGAAGCATGACTTTGGTGGCCAAGATGCAATAATGGCTGTCAAACTTTCCCACATCCACCCATCCCATGCATATGTGAAACACCTGTTAAAATTAAGTCAAACTACAAAAATATCACTAAAAATCCAGTTCTTGTCATCATTCGTCTACTGCATGGCCACTAATGATGCCTTAGTTTAAATATAAGATCTGTTAATGTCGGCTATAAAGGAGGATTTTGCAATTGACCAAAGAGGTTTCCACTTGATTTCTCTCTACCTCAGCCTGTGACCAAAAAGTTGCTCTCCGAAGTTATTTTCAACTTCTTTCTCTAGTCATGTCTAAACTTGTCCAATTCATTCTAATATTAACAAATCATCTCAAAGAGACTTTTCTGATCATCTTTGAAGGACCCCCTTTTCTCTCTTATGTAATAACTTCCTCAGAAGGTTATAATGAACTTTTTCTCACTTATTCTCAAAGCAATGTATGTTAAGCCATCATGACAAACTACAATAAATCTTTGGGTGCTATTTGTAATTTTAGCTGCGTGGTCATACACATTCTTTCGTCTTACGAATAAGCAAAATAATTTTTCAATGCACCTCTGAAAAAAATAATGTGTTATTGTGCACACATGTTTTCCTTTCAGGATGGTCAACCTTCTTCAACTTCACAACCAACATCATCTTATGATTTGAATCTTGAAAGTAGAATTACTAAACTGAGGTACAAGTGAAAAAGAATCAAATATAAAAGTAGTCAAATAACAAATAGAGACCCAATCCAAGGTCATAGCAACACATAATTCAATGTAAAAAGATAGGGTATAAGAAAAGAACTTCCAATAGAAGAAAAACAAATAAAATACGAACTAGAAAAACAAGTTACTGGTTTTAGCATAATTAAGAAAGTTTACTGGGTCCTAATTTGTTATTTTAAACTCTTTTACCATGATACAATTGTAAGTCAATATATTATATTCTTTAAATAAAAAATCAATATGTTATATTAAAATTAAGTTGCAATCATACTAAAAATATTTTAGTTATTTCTATTTTGGGCTAAGAGTTTGTTTTGAGCCAAAGAATCTAAAAGAAATTAGATACTCTACAAAAAAAAAAGAAATAGCTACAAAAGTTTGAATTGTTCATTCTTTCAATGGGTATTTACATATAAAATTGCATGGAAAGTAAAAGAAAATAAATAATTACAACAACAAACACATAAAACCGCCCTAGTTATCCTGTTGTTTAATCAATATAGGGATTGTCGTTTGATGCAAGGGAGCAATCAATGGGCCTTTTCTTTCCCTTTTTATATATGAATCCATGAAAAAGATATTTCCTTATAAGCAATGAATTCATGACCAATGATTTTTCCTATCCAGCACTCCCATGATCTGATGGCACTTTAATAAAAACTATTTATATTGGATATCAACAACAACAATAATTTTGAGTTGAAGATGGAAAACACCCTCTAAATCACTAAAATAATATTTTTAGGTGAATCACTCCAATTACTAAGTGCAGGATAAAATGTGCTCCTTATTAAAATTGTGTCACCCTAAATAAGGAAAAAACATAGCACAATTTGCTCTTTATAACAATTAGGAGGTACAAACAAATAGCTGGTTGTTGCTTGCTGAGGAAAACAATCCGTTTATTAAAGAAGAAGCCATCAATAATGGGAAACAAAGCTTATAGTATTTTTATGGGGAGTCTCCATAAAAATTACTACAAAAAAAAAAGAAGTGGCTAGAAATCTTATTTTGTTCATTAATCCAATAACAATTTATATCAAAATTACCCAAAAAAAATTGAAAACTACCAATTACAAAGTAATTAAAAATTAAAAATACTGCCAAAAATTTTTCTATATTGGCTAGTGAGAGGAGAGAGCAATCCACGACACTCCAATTTTCATCACGTTAAGCACATGAATTTATTGCATTCCTCTTTTCATGTTACGTGTGTCAATTTATAAAAAATATGTTTCCTTATCTAGCACGAGAATTCATGGCCCCTTTAGTTCTTATTTTAAATCATAATATTTTCAAAACACATTCAAACTAAGATAGAAAAAATTTATTATTTCAAATTTGCTTAAGATATTTGCAGGATGCAAAGTCACATTGGTAAATATGTAGGAGAGTCGACTTCCCGGGAACATATACAGTGTGTAAATTAACCCTTTTCCATTTTTTTTTAAATGAAATACCTACTCACATTCATATATTTGGTTTGATCATGTTGTATTATGGGCAGTGTTGATAAAAATCTTATTATAACAATAAATAATCATTAGTCATTTCTATTTGATTTTTAAATTTTCTATAATAATTGTAATCAATAAGAGTTCGCAGATACATGATTGCTTTGAATTTAGTTAGAAAATAGGTAATTTCTTGCTTTTTCAAGTTACCTACTTTTCTCCTAGTAGTGTGCAATGTCCTGAAATAAATTTCCTATTCATTGATAATCCCCTATAATCAACATTAGAATAACCTTCAATTTGATTTTTAAATTTTCTATAATATTTGTAATCAATAAGAGTTCGCAGATACATGATTGCTTTGAATGTAGTTAGAAAAGAGGTAATTTCTTGCTTTTTCATGTTACCTACTTTTCTCCTAGTAGTGTGCAATGTCCTGAAATAAATTTCCAATTCATTGATAATCCCCTATAATCAACATTAGAATAACCTTCAATTTATAAAGTCTCATATTTTCTATAGAGAAAACCTTTTTCAAAATTTAATTTTAAATACCCAAGGCTTCTAAAAACAGCTTGAAGGTGACATTCCTTTGACTGGTGCATAAATTAAGTTATGAGAATTATAATAAAAGGGATGTTAAGACGTGTAAATCATATAGATCAAAAAACTAATTTTTGATATTATTGAATGTGAACTTCTATTCCTTCTCATTTGAGTTCAATTTTTGACTTGGTTCAATTGAAGTTTCAGATGACTTGCAATAAATCATTATTATTTCTTTCAAAAGATTCATAACATATTTTTATTCAAAGATAAAAATGTTTACTGAGACACTTTTATAACTAAGAAGTTTTTGAGTAGGACAAGTTCTTTAATTTCAATTCTACAACAAATTATTTCCTAAATAATTCTTCTTTTTGTTTATTGTCGTCAACCGTATACACAATAAGTATTGAATTTTGTTGCATCATTCAATGCAACCCCAGGTTTAACCACAGTTGAACCTTTGAACGTTAAACCTCTTTTTCTTCTAGTTCAATGTCTGATCCGAATTTCAAACCTTAATAGTAAATTTAACACCTAATGTAAAAATCAACTAGAGCAAACCTAAAACCAGCAATCATAAAGCTAACCTAATATGGCTGGAATAAGCCCACCGAAAATGAGCATTTTAAAGTAAGGGATTATTTTTGGTGCGAAATAAGGAGCAGCAAGAATAGATTACAATCCACTTATACTCGCTTGTCAAATAAATTGATAAGTAAAGCAAAAGCATTATACACTAGTGTGTTCCTGGATAATGGTTATAAAATGCAGAAAAGCATTTTTCTCTTGTCATACACCATAAAAATTTACGACCCTTGGCTAAGAATAAGGAAACATTGATCAATACAAAATTTCATATTTTTAGTCAGATATCAACTCATTAAAATTGAGAGAAATGTCCCTTGAAAATAAAACCAAACAATAAAAACAATGCAATTAATTTAAGTTATTATGAAACATTATGCTAAATCAGCTCACTTGTTTGGAGAAACGTATGATTTGAAAATGAAGAGTGGCATCATGCAAGTCCTCCGTGAAGCATGTGATTTGTACATCATCAGTTAGAGCACCAACACTTGCCTTGGAATTTCCATTTGCCTGTGGTTCCCCACAAGCATCTAACTCTGAGAGTTTCGCATCTAAATCGTTTGTTTCCATGCCCTAATTTTATATAGCCTACAAAAAAAATCACAGCTGAATAAAATTGTTCAAGAACAATATGTTCGCACCTACTTAAGAGTTCAACAAATAACATGATCTAATATTAAGTGAAGTAAGTTCAGTTAGGGATTTTGGCAGGAAATAGAAAGGCCTAACCTTTTCAAGGAAGTTTAGAAAATCTAAATTGATGGAACCCAATGGAAGTAAAAACCAAATAAGAAGAAGGAGTTTCAATAGACTTCCAATAGCTTATAAGTGGAGAACGAGGAGTAAGAAGAGTAAAAGGTCAAAGGCAGTTGCAAAACAAGTGAAAGTTTCATCTCAAGGGAAAAAAATAGAGGGAGCACAAGAAAGAAAGAGATGTCCCTATAGTTGCAAATTGTGAGGTGGAGAAGAGAAAGAGTTTGGATATGGGGGCAGGCCAATATCTACAGTGATGAGCAATGGGTAGAAATAAGAGAAGAACTGGAGATGTCCTTGGGTATTTTGCATATTTAAAAATGTGGTTATTCGTATAAAGCCATTTTTGAAATTTTTTAAGAATTTAAACTTTTGTAAAAAAAATTAAAAATTTATCCCATTCTATTGTTAAGGCAACTAATCACTAATCACATGCTTATACAAAGATTTTTAAGATCCTACCAGTATTAATAAATTTTTAGTTTATTTTTAATAATTACTGTTATCATTTGTTGATAAAATTTCAACATGAAAATTCACCTCACAAGGCAAAGTTATGCAATAATTTAAACTACATAACCTCACCTACCTCAGCAGAAAATCGATCATCAATTCATATATAACACAAGCATTCAAGAGCAACAATTCCCATGCACAAAATAAAATGTAAAAGTGAGCATCTCTATAAGGCAGAAGTTCCGCATCAACCAAAATATGAAAGTATGGGAAAGATGTGAAACCTATTAAATCATAAAGAAAAAAAAATCATAGAAAATTCATGCAAAAAAATGCAGGAATTTTAAACAGGTTTACCCATTCGATGTCTAAAGTAATGCTATCTTTGTTGCAAACTCACATAGGCACATAGATTTTATATTTTAAACCTCAGGCAAGCATATGGAACTCTAACATTGGCAATCTCATTCTATTAAGTAATAATAAGAAATAGGAAGACTTACATACATACCACCTAATTCCTATGTATTGACATATCTAACACCTAAACATCAATTTTTACATATGTGCCACCTTACCTGGCATGAAAAGGTGTATTTCAGTTCTTTTTGGCAGGAAATAGAAAGGCCTAACCTTTTCAAGGAAGTTTAGAAAATCTAAATTGATGGAACCCAATGGAAGTAAAAACCAAATAAGAAGAAGGAGTTTCAATAGACTTCCAATAGCTTATAAGTGGAGAACGAGGAGTAAGAAGAGTAAAAGGTCAAAGGCAGTTGCAAAACAAGTGAAAGTTTCATCTCAAGGGAAAAAAATAGAGGGAGCACAAGAAAGAAAGAGATGTCCCTATAGTTGCAAATTGTGAGGTGGAGAAGAGAAAGAGTTTGGATATGGGGGCAGGCCAATATCTACAGTGATGAGCAATGGGTAGAAATAAGAGAAGAACTGGAGATGTCCTTGGGTATTTTGCATATTTAAAAATGTGGTTATTCGTATAAAGCCATTTTTGAAATTTTTTAAGAATTTAAACTTTTGTAAAAAAAATTAAAAATTTATCCCATTCTATTGTTAAGGCAACTAATCACTAATCACATGCTTATACAAAGATTTTTAAGATCCTACCAGTATTAATAAATTTTTAGTTTATTTTTAATAATTACTGTTATCATTTGTTGATAAAATTTCAACATGAAAATTCACCTCACAAGGCAAAGTTATGCAATAATTTAAACTACATAACCTCACCTACCTCAGCAGAAAATCGATCATCAATTCATATATAACACAAGCATTCAAGAGCAACAATTCCCATGCACAAAATAAAATGTAAAAGTGAGCATCTCTATAAGGCAGAAGTTCCGCATCAACCAAAATATGAAAGTATGGGAAAGATGTGAAACCTATTAAATCATAAAGAAAAAAAAATCATAGAAAATTCATGCAAAAAAATGCAGGAATTTTAAACAGGTTTACCCATTCGATGTCTAAAGTAATGCTATCTTTGTTGCAAACTCACATAGGCACATAGATTTTATATTTTAAACCTCAGGCAAGCATATGGAACTCTAACATTGGCAATCTCATTCTATTAAGTAATAATAAGAAATAGGAAGACTTACATACATACCACCTAATTCCTATGTATTGACATATCTAACACCTAAACATCAATTTTTACATATGTGCCACCTTACCTGGCATGAAAAGGTGTATTTCAGTTCTAAAATTAAAATAGTGGTATTTTTTATGTGATATAAAAAATTTGGGTAGTATAAATGTAAGAAAGTAAGGTTTTGGTGTTAGACATGAAAATACACAAGAAATATTAGCATCACAAGTCCTTATACACATCTCAATAAGGCACACTCACGAAAAAAAATAATTCGCTAGTAGGGTTGATATTATTTTTCATAGAAAGATAAATATATTATATGTTCAAAAAACTAAATGGGTTGGATAAAAGGTAAGGAGATTGATAGCTTAGGTTTTAAACTTTGGTATTCATGTAAGAGTCGCACTGGAAATGGGGTAGGTGTAATTATATATAAGAGTTTGAAAGAGAATGTTGTAAAAATTAATAGAGTTGGAGATAAAATTATAGCTCCTAAGATTATTGTTTATACTAAGATATTTAATAACATAAGTGTTTAGCTCCTCCAATAGGTTAAGATATAAGTTCTAAAGAAAAATTTTGGAATGACTTAGAAAACTTAATACAAATGATAAATCTTGAAGAAAAAATTTTTATTGGAGGAGATTTAAATGGATATGTCGGTATAGTGGTATAAGATTTTAGAAATATTCATGGTGGTTACGGTTTTGGAGTGATTAATGAAGAAGGTAGAGCTATACAAGATTTTACTTTAGCATATGATTTTGTTATTGCTAATACTTTGTTCAAGAAAAATGATGAGCGTGTTATTACTTATAAGAATTAATCTAATAAAATACAATTTAATTATTTTCTTATGAGAAGTAGAGATCGTAGAGAATGTAAAGATTGTAAGGTCATTCCAAGTGAATATTTAAATACTCAACATTTCTAAATTTTAAGATGAAGAGTTGTAAAATAAAGAATACTAGGAAACATCATCGTAGAATTAGATGAAGGCACCTAAATGACACAAATAAAATTATTTTTATGAGTAAAATTCAAGATTTCAAAATTTGAGATATTCATGAAAGAAACAAATTCTATGTGGGATAAAGTAACAAAAACTATTATACAAGTGATAAAAATTGTATTTGGAGAATAAAAAAAATGTTTCTATAAATAAAAATTATTGGTAGAGGAATAATAATGTGCAAGAAAAAATAAATAATAAGAACATATGTTATAAAATTTGTTTTAAATGTAAAATTTAAAGAACTGAAAAAAATATCAAACGATCCATAAGGAATCTAAGGGAACAATCTGTGTCACTAAAAATTATGTTTTACTAATCTTTATAATAGATTAAATACCAAGGACAGTGAAAAATATATGTATAAACTAACCAAACAAAGAGAAAAGAAAAGTAAAACTTTAACTCAAGCAAAGTGTATTAAGGATGAAAATAAACAAGTGTTTTTCTTATAATAAGATATTCAAAATAGGTGGGTAAATTATTTTGATAAATTTTTTAATATTTTTTTAGAAAATACGATCGATTTTAGTGATCTTAATATCATTAATAATAATAAAATATTTCATTTTTACCGTCGCATTAGTAAAAAAAAAAATTTGATGAGGCTTTAAAGAAAACCAAGGGTGGCAGGTCTGTAGGACCTAATGATATCCCAATTAAATAATAAAAATATTTAGGAGATTTGGGAGTTTCTTTACTTACTAGACTCTTTAATATTATTTTAAAAACTAAAAAGATGCCTGAGGAGTGAAGGAAGAATAGTTTGGTCCCTATTTTTAAGAATAAAGAGGATGCACGAGAGTGTGCCAATCATAAAGGTATTGATATGTCATACTTTAAAATTATATTATGGGAGAAGGTAATTGAACATAGGTTAAGACATATTACAAAGAAAGATTTCTCATAATCAGGATTTATGTTGGGTAGGTCTACTATGGAAGCTATACATTTATTGAGAGGTTTAATGGGGGAGGTTTGGTGGAGAAGTTCAGAGATGTTCAGAGATAATAAAGAGGATCAACATATGATTTTTATTGATTTAGAAAAAGCTTGCGATAAGGTTGCAAGAGATATCCTTTGGAGAGTTCTTGAGAAGAAATGTGTTGAGATGACTTATATTCAAGTCATTAAAGATATATATACAAGACCTGCTACTTGTGTTCGAACAGAAAGAGGATTGACCAAATATTTTCCTATTCAAATATTTTCCTATTTCTACCAAATATTTTCCTATTTCTATTGGTTTACATCAGGAATCAGCTTTAAGCCCATATCTTTTTGCTTTAGTTATGGATGGTCTAACTGGACACTTACAGGAAGATGTACTTTAGTGTATGTTTTTTTGCTGATAATATCCTTCTCGTGGATAAGACAAGAGAAAAAACTCAGGAAAAATTTGAATTATGGAGGCCTACCTTGGAGTCTAAAGACTTTTGTTTGAGTAGAACTAAAACTGAATACATGGAATGTAGTTTTAGTAGTAATAGCTCTAATGACAGAAATATAACTATGGGTGATCAATTATTAAAAGGTGTGAACGCTTTAGGTATCTCAGGTCTATTGTTCAAAGTGATTGTGATACTGATGAGGATGTTATTAGTAGAATTCAAGTTGGTCAAGTTGGTTGGCTCAAGTTGGTTGGCTGAAGTGGAGGAATGCTTCAGACCTACTGTATGATAGAAAAGTACCGCTTAGACTGAAAGGAAAATTTTATAAGATAGTGATGAATGTTATATGGTGTTAAAAGTTGGTCTTTAAAAGAGAAGCATAAAACAAAGTTAACTGTTGTCGAGATGAGAATAATTAGGTTGATGAGTGGCTTTACACTTGAAGACAAAATGCGAAATGAATATATCCGTGATAGGGTTGGTGCAGCTCCAGTGACGGACAAAATTAGAGAGAGTCGTCTTAGACAGTTTGGTCACATTAAATGTCGACCATTTGATGATCCGATTAGAAGAGTAGATGTTTTAGATTCGACTTATGCTAAGAAAGGCAAAGGTAGACCTAGGATGAGATGGGCATATTGTATAAAAAATGATATTAATTTATTAGAATTAAATGAAAATACGACACTAAATAGAACCTAGGATGAGATGGCATATTGTATAAAAAATGATATTAATTTATTAGAATTAAATGAAAATACGACACTAAATAGAACACAATGGAGAAAAAGGATTCATGCAGCCGCCCCTACTTAGTAGGATAAAGGTTTTATTGTTGTTGTTGTTTTTTTGTTGTTGTAGGTACATCCTCCTTCAAGTATGAGAAGCAAAATTTCTCTAAATGTTACCATTCAGTACAAGCAGGCATTGAAAATACAAGAAGCAGAGCTTCTCAACACATCATAGAAGAAATGAGACCGGTTAACAGGCAAACTTCACATCTTATAAAATTAAAGTACGTCATTGCAGCAAATCAATTAGTTCATACAAAACTAAGAATAATTCAAGCTACCGAATAATTAATAACTACATCAACCAAAATCATAACGCAGTAATAAGATAGCCTACTCACGGCCTATACAGCAATATTAACCAATATAATTATGGACATGCATTTTAGGTTAGTGTGCAATGAGCCAGTGATGATAAGGAAGAAGAGGCAGTTAAGAAATGCAATGTTTATCAAGTGAAAAACGGTTGATAAGAAATTTGACGAGATCAATACCTGAGGGGGAATATAAAATTTTATCGAACGGCGAGGGGGAGGCTTTGGCAAGCAATAGAGGCGGGTTCAGCGGCGAATTCCGAGCAGGTGGTGGTCTCGAGAGCGAGTATGATGGTCACGGAGGCGGCGACGGCGACGGCGAAGGCGACGGCAAGGGTGATAGCAGAGGCGATGGCTAAATCCCAAGCAGCGATGTCGCAAGGGCTAGGATTTTGAGTCGCGGTACAGAACTGAAGCAAAATTGTATCAGCTGGGGCTGTATGGCAACTTCTAGGTTCCAAGGAGTCGCAAGCTTGAGCTCGAACTGGAGGTCAAGGATGCATTTCGCGACACCTGCGAATTCAAACATTGTTATTTAAAAGTCTTCGTTGCAAATGTTTCAAAAAATTTATTTTAAAATATTGTGAGACAATTGTGAATAAATATGCAAAAGTTCATATTATATAAAATTCATAAAATTTTATACATTCATAATTCTTATATTTAACTTTGTTGTATGAAACCTTAAAGATACAAAAGTAAGTACGAAGTTAAATTGTTATAATGCTAAATCATTCATGTTTTAATTCATTAAATAAATTGATCAAGTACTTTTCGATAATTTGTAAGTTTCAGTTACATTACCAAATACTAGTTCACAAAATCGAACTTATAACATCGAATCGCTTATTAACTAAAGCTTCGATGATTTGCTCTCGTAAGTCAACCATCTCATCAACGCGTTCTTCATCGTCTATGTAAGGGGTGACAATATTCATCATCGATTATCTCAATCGATACTCATATGTTTCAGAAGATATTGATTCTTTTTCATCTACATTTGTAAAGTCAACATCATAGTGGGAATGATGTCACCATATGTAATTATGTTGTAAAATTATTGCAGCAATAATTTTAACTTCTTTTCTAAATAATAGGTAGGCATATGTGGAATAACTCACTTTTTCTTCCAAACTCCTGAAGTCCTCAAAATGATAAGACAAAATAATGAGGGACGCTATTAAGGATCTATTTTCTTCCCCGCACAATTTGGCTAGCTCTTTCAAAGTCTAGAATATGATATTTTGTGTTGAAAAGTGGCTTAAGAAATCATCATTTTAATGGATATCTCACATGTTTTGTAGCATGCTATTTTTCATTTATATTTAGCACTTATTTTTTGATGAAATTGCACTTTAAAGGAAGATATTTCTATGCTTTTGTTGTAGGTATAAAAGGTAGGAGATTTAGAGCAATTGGAGTAAAAAACGGAGCGAAAAGGCGGAAGTGGCTCCACTCCATGGCGTCATGATGTCGCAGATGGGCCCCTAAGAGCCAATTGATGTCCAGCAAATAGAGAACCTGGCGTCATGGCGCCACAGACTGACGCCTAGGCGCCGGTTATTTGCCTTGATTACCCGAGAAGGTGGTGCCTCTGCTCCACACTAACTTGGGCGGTTTCTGCAGCAGTTATAGACAAATTTGAAGGTTATGAATTGGGAGAAGCAAAACTAACAGAGAGAAGGATCATTTGTGAATTTAAGGAAAAAGTCTAAGTGTGCAAAAAAGTAGGGTTCAAAGTTAGATTTTGTATTTTTCTACATTTCCTTAGAGATAATTGAGAGGATATTGTAAAAGATTGTTGTAAGTAGTACAAGGAACACTTTTAGATCATTTGGGGAGGAGTTTTCACTTCTTTTCTCAGGGAGAAAGATTTGTGTTTCATTCTATTTTGTTTTATATTAATTGTAAACTCATTGCATATGAATTTCCTTTATTAAAAGATAATGGATTATTGTGTTTTCTTCATGCATCGTGAGTAGATCTGACACCTCTTAAAATTACCTATTTTATATATACATTTCATTCTTATTTTTTATGATATCGTGCTTTAATGAAAGGTAGTTTCCATGTTTTTAGTTTGAGGTACAAGAAATAGAGTTTTAAGGAAAAAGAGTGAAAATAAATGCAAAATGCAGCCATGAAGCAGTGGCGCCAACTCGCCACTTCTTGCGCCTAAGCACCAAAGTCCATATGAGATTGGCACCTAGGCGTCACAATCGGGACTAGGCGTTAGAAACAGCTACTAATTTTATTTTTTGCATTTGGAAGAATTTTGAATGGATGTCTAAAGCAACCCTTTATAATTTTTAGAGCTTTATACATAAAGTTGAATCCAAATGAAGATGTGTGTGTGTGGAGTCGTTTTAGAGTAGGTTGGACCCCCATAAGAGTGGGCGGTCCCCATAGTGAGAGAGTGATGAGTCTTTGTGATTGCTGAAGTTTTGTGAGTCTTATAAGAGTATATTGGAGTCAAGTAAGTCTTGGAACTTCAAAGAATTGCTTGGGGAAGAGTTTGAGATAAGTATTTGTATTTTTGTTTAAGTTTTATTTTGTGAACTTGAGTTTTAATATAAATCATGTTATGTTTTGTTATTCCCATGAATTCTGAGTATTTTTTATTTTCTTTCTATTTTGTAATAAGAAGTAATCATATGGAGGATTTAATTTGTTTAGAAATTCTTTTATTCCTAAAAATTGTGATGAAATTTTCATCGGTTCTTCATTTACTTTGCAAACTAGCCACTTGTAATGTTAAAATCCGTTGTGAAACATAATGGCTTGAGAGAGCTATGATTTCACCTAACTAGTGAGTACCCCACTAACCTTACAAGGAGGGAAACCACAATCTAAGGAAAGTGTAAATAGATAGGGAGATAAGTTTTGATTGGGGCGTTTTTAGGGTGACAGACTAGATCCTTTACCAATTTTGTCTAGAGTTGGAACTTTAGTCTCTGGTATGTCCTATAGAGAGGGCATAGTGGGTAATCTAGATTTGAGAGGCTATAATCTACTTAACACTACCATACAATCAAGAACTTACTTTAGATTAGCTAATGTTATTTATGCCCTTAGGAGAGGGTAAAGAATATATATGCTCCTATTTGTCATAATACATCATTTAAACCTTTAAACCTTATGATTCCTACTCAGATTATGAACTCATTGAGAGGGGAAAAATTCTTTTCATAATTAGAACTCTCTTTTACATTTAGCATAGTTTAGAATTTTTACATTTACATTTAGTTTTAAACTGAACTTGTAAGAATTTAGTAGCTTTACTTTACACCTGAACTTGCTATTATATTTTCTAGATTAATTTCTATAGTTTAAGTAAAAAGTTTTACTAAAAGTCTATACAAAGAATTACTGCTTCTCTGTGGAATTGATATTGGAGTTTTTATAGAAAACTTTTTATTACTTAAAACGATATGTATACTTGTTTAATACCACAAGTTTGAAAACTATTATTCTAAAATTTATAACATTTCATTTGTTCACATTAGCTGTTAAATAAAAGTTAAGTCGAGTTTTTGGTCATTTTTTTGAATATAAAAATCTGTGTAATTGCGAGTCGGGTCAAGTTTTGGGCACCGTTGCCGGAGAAGCTATGGTAAGAACTTTAGGAGAATTTTAGTTGAACCTGTAAGACTTAGATTTAGAAATTGTAGTATCATTATCTTGTGCGTTTTTATGTGTTTATTTTAAAGAAAATCCAAAATACCAAAAATATTTTTGATATTTGTTTTATTAGTTAAATCTTTAGATTTGTATGCATAGTTCAGGAGCTCCAGACCTTGAATTATACAACTTAGATCGAAAGAGAGCTGTTAGGAGGATTATGAATTAGAAAAGACTTCATGAATTTCTGGTAGAAATGACGGATCAACAAAATAATGAATATTCGGATTTGGATTATAATGTTATTAGCTTTGATAAAGTAAACCCCAAGATGATACCGAATTTTCATGAAGATATGCTTACTATTTTAACTTCTCAAGTTGCAGATACTGCACAAAGTTAGATCAATACATAGAAAGTTATCCTCAAGGTCCCCCAATTATTGATGGAAATTCATTTGGATAATTGATTGAGACTAACTATTTTGAAACTAACCATGAGATACACGATCCTTATTTTGTTTATTACAACCCATGTTGGAAGAATCATTCTAACTTTAATTGAAATAACAATTTTTGAAGAAAAACCCGACTATGGGCAGATAATCAATTTAATCAGACTTGTAATTGGAATAATTAGGGCAATTTTAACGTTGAACTTTCTTTTCCTCATAGATTTAACTTTGATCCATAGAATGAGGGGAAGGAGTTATTAGAAGAGAATGATATTCGAATGGAGAGTTAATTGGGAAGACAAGGGGCCGCAATTAAGAATATAGAAAACCAACTGGGGCAAATTATTAATTCAATTAACAGTTATCCTCCGGAGATTTTACCTAGTGACACTGAGAAAAACCTTAAGGAGAATAATGGTGGGCAAGATCAAACTATCCAATTAAGAAGCGGAAGAGAATTAGAGGATATGGTTCAAATGAGCACTGAGTTGAGAAAAATGGGGAAAAGAGATTGAAAAACCAATAAAAGAAATTCTTAAGAAATTAGAAAAACGATTTCATCAACCAAGATAAATATAGAAAGACCACTTCCACCATTTCCTCAGCCTCAAGGGGAAGAAATAAAAATAACTTGAGACGGAAGAGTAATATAGTAGAATTTGATCCAAAATCTGAATCATATAAAGAGAATTCGATCCAAAATTTAGGAGATCTTGAATTATCATATAGAGATCCATTTCTTATAATTTTAAAGGATTATATTAATATGCAAATTGATAAAATCATTGGAAGAATATTGGATCTAGAAAGAAACATTTATTGTATAGAGAACCATTTCTTATAAATTGTAAGGATGATAATAATATGCAAATTGAGAAAATTATTGGAAGAATATTAGATCTAGAAAGAAACATGGGGAAAAATAATCTGAATCAATCTGAAAAGGAGAAGCTGAAAGAAAAACTGAACTTTAAGGTTTTAGTAGGAATCCCAGAATCCGGGAAAGATTGGGCAATTGATCAAGGATTAATTAAATGAAATTTTGATCCGGGACGAACCCTTTGTCGGGCTAGCGACGTTAAACAATGCGCTTTATGGGAGGCAACACATAGTCATCAGTGTGATTTGATTTAGATTGTTTGAGGTTTTTTGTGTTTGTTTTAGTGAGGATGATCAGTTTGATTAATGTTGGTAGATGTTTGGCCACGTTCTCCACTTCCCCTGGCTAAAGCTTCCCCTCGGTGCCGCCACTCTTTCTGTGCTCTGTCGCCACTTCTCCATTGCATTCTTGTTGTCGCTTACTCGTTACCCCTGGCTTCGGTTCACCCCAGGTAAGGTGAAGGTAAAATGCTTCCTCACTCTTAGCTATCAATACCCCTTTGAAGGGAGGAAGGAGGGTTGTTGTTGAATCGTTGCTGGTCGCACGTTGTGGCTGAA